AAGTGGTCATGTGATTGACCACGACTACTTTATTCTTCCTCAGTCAAACAGCAGCACTCGTGCGATTGTTTTGCCCCCTGAGCTCCAGGTGTTGTGCCAAAAAGTGGTCGTCGGCCAGAAAGTGATCGCCGCCCGCGGGAGCGCAGCTGCTTAAAGCTGCAGCACCCAGATTACTTACAGCTACTTCCTGCAACTGATATAAGATGCGGTAAACTGAACACAGCTTCAACCGTCTGTTTGTTGAAAAATAGTAACGGACTGCATTTTCTGTAACGGTGTTGTAACGATAGGGATAGTAATTAGTTAGATTAGTCTTTACTAAAAAAAGTAACGCCGTTACTTGTAATGCTGTTATTCCCGTCACTAATCATTTACAGGTATTTTTCTGTACTTCTTAACTATTGCAGTGCATTGTGGGAGCAAGAACCCCAAAAGGAGGGAAAAATAAGAGCAAGAGCAGACATTAGACTTTTTTAAGGCTTCATTTAGGTTTTAGACTCTGGAGTTGGAGAAGCTGCCTTCACATTTCTGTGGTAAATATTAAACTTTTAGATTTTTTTTATTAAGATAATGTTTTTCAAAACACTCAGTGATTTTGTTTAGAAAGAATTGTTAATTTATTTGTTAAATGGTGTCCACTGTATCCAGATAAGTCAGGAATATGTTGCTGACTTACTTTGAAAAGAGTCGTTATTTAGGTTTAACATGACATAAACTTTCTATTTTAGTTAATTATCTTTCGCTATGATACTCGGTTTGGCTTCCAGTGGCTGGAGCAGTTTTCATGAATACCATCTGGTCTTTAAGTCTGAGGTCATTGCTGTTTCTCCATCCAAACTCCGCTTCTGGTCCCAACATCAAACGATCACTGAGAGTTAAAAACTGTCTAAATTCTTTCATCTTTAATGAAATGATCAGTGTAACAATTAAGTTTAACATCCATGAAAATAGACTTTATGAAGTTTAACGGATTTAGAAGATAGCAGGAAGTTGATATAGCATGATATAGCACAGTGAAGCTGGAGGATGAACGCTAACTTTTTTCCACTCAATAAAAGTTAACATGAGGGTTCCTGATGGTTAGAGACAAATGCAATCGCATGGCAGGATGCTGTAAACTTCAGCCAGGAGAACAACTGAGATAATCCATCCACAATACGAGGTTAGTCATTCATATACTGCTGCATGGGCTGGGCTGTAGTTACATCGTAAGGGTTTAAAACTGAGCTTTAAAATGAACAGTGGTGGTAAAAACCAAGAGAGGCCGACAGTGATCACTGACTGTTTTTAGGGGCTTGTTCAGATTAAATAGAACAAAATACAAAACATGTTAAAAACACAATAATAAACACACCGTAGGTTGGACCTGGAAGCAGGCTCATCATCACTTAAAGACCAGATAGCAGTGTTGCCAGCTTAGCGAGTTTGTCGCTATATTTAGTGAGTTTCAGACCCCCTTAGCCACTTTTTTCTAAGAAGCGACTAACAACAAATCTGGTGACTTTTTCTGGTGTTATTGGAGACTTATGATGACACATATCGCTCTTACTCTCAACAAGCAAAAGGTGCTGCCACAGGTGCAGGTGGGCAACAGGTGGGCACCTCGCCCGTGCCAAAGCGCTCACAGGCAGCGGGTAGTCCTCACGGAATGACTGAAGTAATGTTGTTAAGTCCTTAAAGTCATATTCTTTTATTGTCATGACTGTATTTGAAGCTATTTTTGTATGATACCTGATTTATATGGAATATGGCTGAAGTAAACTAAAGCCTAAAATACTTAGTCAGTCATTTGTTTAATAGTAATTTAACATTATATAATTCACATATAAAACTATGAATTGTAATTTTAAATGGTTTAAAAGCAGGTAGAATAGCATATGTAGGCAAGTATACTTCTCCTTTTATCAAGAAGCAAAGACAAAAAGGGGAACAAAAGAAACAGGGCAGGGTTCGGTGGTTGAATCATCCGTCCCCACCAATGCCACAACCAAATCTACGCCCTTGGAGGAGTTGGCAACACTGCCGGATATTTAGTTGTCTGCTTCTCTCTGGGCTTTGCACAGCTCTGACTGCTAGCTAGCTAACTAGCTAAAGTCAGCCATGTAGATAATAATAATGGATTGCATTTATATAGCGCTTTTCAAGGCACCCAAATGCCACTATTCATTCACTCTCACATTCATACACTGGTGGAGGCAGCTATGGTTGTAGCCACAGCTGTCCTGGGGCAGGCTGCCATATCGCGCCATCGGCCCCTCTGGCCAACACCAGTAGGCGGTAGGTGAAGTGTCTTGCCCAGGGACACAATGACCTGGACAGAGAGCCCGGGGATCAAACCGGCGACCTTCCGGTTACAGATACGCTTCTCAACCCCCTGAGCCATGGTCGCCCCATAACTGGGAAAAGTGAAAACTTCAATTCAATTCAATTCAATTTTATTTATATAGCGCCAAATCACAACATAAGTCGCCTCAAGGCGCTTCATAGATACAGAGAAAAAAACCCAACAATCATATGACCCCCTATGAGCAAGCACTTTGGCAACAGTGGGAAGGAAAAACTCCCTTTTAACAGGAAGAAACCTCCGGCAGAACCAGGCTCAGGGAGGGGCGGGGCCATCTGCTGCGACCGGTTGGGGTGAGAGAAGGAAGACAGGATAAAGACATGCTGTGGAAGAGAGACAGAGGTTAATAACAGATATGATTCAATGCAGAGAGGTCTGTTAATACATAGTGAGTGAGAAAGGTGACTGGAAAGGAAAAACTCAATGCATCATGGGAATCCCCCGGCAGCCTACGTCTATTGCAGCATAACTAAGGGAGGATTCAGGGTCACCTGGTCCAGCCCTAACTATATGCTTTAGCAAAAAGGAAAGTTTTAAGCCTAATCTTAAAAGTAGAGATAGTGTCTGTCTCCTGAATCCAAACTGGAAGCTGGTTCCACAGAAGAGGGGCCTGAAAACTGAAGGCTCTC